ATAGAAAGTGTTGTTTGAGCAAATGTTTGGTTTCTGCAGGTTAATCCTGAAGTGAGCTACGTGAAATTGATGTATGGGTGCATAAACAACTGTCTGGGGTACACTTTTTTTGATTGTTTAATTGATTCTTAAAAGTCTGATTTGTTTAATTGATGAGGAAAATAAGAATTATTAGCATTTTTTGCTTGTTTAATTGATTTGTAAAAGTTGATTTGTTTAATTGATGTGTAAATAATTCTTATTTGTGATTGTTTAATTGATTTGTAAAAGTTGACTTGTAAAAGTTGATTTGTTTAATTGATGTGTAAATAATTCTTATTTGTGCTTATTTAATTGATTGAAATGTAAAAGTTGATTTGTTGATTTCAATCTGCATCATATTGAAGGCAAAAGACCTGTTGAAGGTACACTTTCGCAACGCTAAACTCAAAATCGCAATGCGAAAGTCAAAATTGCAATGCGAAAGCCAAAATCGCAACGCGAAAGTTAATTCGCGTTGCGATAGTCTAATACGCTTTGCGATTTTCTCATTGCGATAGTCAAATTCCCGTTGCGATAATCAAATTCTCGTTGCGATAGTCAAATTCGCGTTGCGATAGTCAAATTCGCGTTGCGATAGTCATATTCGCGTTGTGATAGTCAAATTCGCGTTGCGATTTTTGAGTTGCGATAGTCAAATTCCCGTTGCGATATTCAAATGAATGTGTAATAAGTGATAACAACTGAACAGATCATAGCAATGTTCAAACTCAAGTTACTAATACATGCCTAACTGAAAATGTTAAAAGTTTACACATAAAATACACATAATAGTCAAATTCGCGTTGCGATATTCAAATGAATGTGTAATAAGTGATAACAACTGAACAGATTATAGCAATGTTCAAACTCAAGTTACTAATACATGCCTAACTGAAAATGTTAAAAGTTTACACATAAAATACACATAATACAACGTTTGCATTTAAAAATCACCTAAGTTAATAGTCCCAAAAGGTGAAGCCAGTTGTGATTTGGATTTTGATTTTGATTGTCTTTTTCTTGACACCATATGAGCTTTGGATTTTGATGAGTATCCATATTTTTGTAAAAGAAAAGATGATTGTGATGGCACTGGTGATCCACATGTCAACCTTGTATGACCACTTTCCTTACACCGACTACATGTCAATCTCTTCTTCTCTTCACCCTTAGACGGTATACGATCGTGACTTTTTGGTCGGCCAGGTAGCCTTCTGTCCATGGCTGGTAGCAAAACTGTTTTTAAGTCATCTGATATGTCCCACTCAGAAGGATGTGTAATAGGGTAGATAATCTCGGCATAAGTCTATCGATATACTTCTGTAGTGTAGTAATCCATAGCGTATGCGCTTGAATCATCTTGGTTTAGATGAAGAGCAACTTTTATAACATGGCCACACGGATAACCAGATGTTTGCCATTTCATACAACTACACGTCTTTGCATTTAGATCGACAAGCCCATTTAAGTTATTATCCAGTACTTCAAACAAAGTGTTTGAACATGGTTCAACTCTCCATGACGTTGACTTCACAACACGTTTCGTTATCTTTTTTCAGTCCATGGTGTAACACGATGTTCCAATGTTCCTGTAAATTTAAATAAATAATACTTAGTAAAATATATGATAAGTTACGAATTTAAAGAAATAATACCTGCATGGTTTCTTTTCTTGTAGTACCACTATTAAATAGAGGCTCGAAAAAACTCCATTAACATAGTAATGGGTAATTTCTGGGAATGATGACTTAGAGCGTTGATTGATTCTGCACTATTAGACGTCATGAAACCATATCTTGCTCCAAGTTGATGTACTCTTGACCATCTTTCAAACCCGACATCTTCTAGTGTTTGAGCACACTGAGGCAAAACACGTCTTAAACAATTTATATACTTATTAAAATCCACTTCCCGATAAGCTTTTGCAGTCTTCCAGTATGTTCATTTGTGATTTTTATACCAGCAGACCTTGATTTTAGATTTCTATACAAATGAACACCACAAAGTCCATGAAAAGCATATGAGAAACACATTCTAATAGCGTTGTCAATTGAGTTTGCCCTATCGGATATGATTGTCAGATTGCTAATAGGACATATGCAATCCCTAAGATGCCCCATAAACCATGTCCATGAATCAGAGGTTTCAGATTTGCCAACCCCGTAAGCTATTAACAGTATCCCATTGTTAACATCCATGGATACTGTTAATAAGTTTACTCTAAGGTATCGACCTTTTAAATGTGCTCCGTCAACTATAATAACTGGGCACATGCAAGTAATAAACGAACGAATCTACAAAATCATATACACAAGAAATATAATCATTTAAATGTGAAATGCATGTAACTAACAAAAATGAGTCAATAAAATTATATTGATTTACTAACCGCAGCATCAATGGCGATAAACAACAACTCAAAGCGTCAATCTCTATCTGTTTTGATATGAGTTACCGACCCAGGATTTTTCAGCTTTAAATTGTAACAATAAGCCGACAGTTGGGCAAACGATGCTTCTGGCAACCCCCTCAACAATTCCAAGGCATAACATTTGGCTCTCCAAGCTTAAGAATATGAGATACTAATCTTGAACCGAGCATTCATGTCAGTCATAATTTCATGTCCCCGATATACCCTTCTATTCAAAAACAGTAACTCAGCCAGAAAACCACCCAAAACCTTTTTGTTTGCCTGTCTATGGTGAGGAAAAACTTGGGTTCTTGAACATGTATGTTTATCAATAAAAGTCCTAACTCGAAACATTTCACAATCTTTTATCATCTTTGCAATTATACGCCACGTACGGTTTTTGTCAATCATACACCTTGTTTCAAAACGATCTTTGCTTGATTTGTTAACTTTTAGTTGATAGCCATATTCCACACATTTCGTATACAAAGCTATCTTCAAGTCTTCATTTGTATCAAAACAATCATCTTTCTTGATACGAATAATTTTTGTGTAACAATCAACTGTTATCTTTACCAACTCTTCTTCCGGTATCTGAAGTAATTCTGGCATATTCCAGTTATACTCCCGTGGTATTTTCTTCAGGGACTTTTCTTCGAGGATTTCTTATTCTTCTTTTTCTTCTTCATGGTTATATGAATTACAGAATGGATGTTCAACATGTTCATTCACAGTCGTAACTTTCTCCTCATTATCATTAACAACATCTTCCTCGGCATCGGCTGTTTCATCATCAAAATTCGGGTATTGACCAATATCAAAATCATTACACGCAGGGTCTGTTTCTTCTTCTGAAACATCATCAAAATCCGAGTATTGACCAAGATCAAAGTCCGGGTATTGACCAATATCAAATTTCGAATACTGACTAGTACTCATAATTTTTTCTGTTGGCTCATCATCGTCTAACTGATCAATACGAAAACCGGAATTTGGTGCTGAAAGTTGATTGGTATTTGGATTAAGGAAATGTTGTGGGTTTTGAGATTGTGTTTGGTATTGGAAATGTGGTGAAACAAAATTTGCTTGGTGATGAAATTGTGGTGGAACCATTAAATTTTGAGCACCATAAACTGGGGTTGAAAAACTTAGTTGATTACTACCCGCTACTGACTCAACTTCACTACTTCTAGGTTCAACAACATACAATGTAACATCATCTTGCGAAACACTAATGTAAGCAATGAATCGTTCAACATCTTCATTGTCGGTTAACAAATAAACTTTACCTTTTCTCTGATAAGATAGCCTAAATCCACTTAAGGGCTCTAAATTCAATTTATTTGCAACACGTAACATTAGAGTTTCATAAGTTAACTTTTTTAATGACAGTTTTAGTTGAAGATTCATGGGTAAAGGCATATATTGTAAAACACCATGAACATTCTCCCATGACCCTCCAAAACACAAATCTATCCAAACATGATCAACATTAGATGATTTCATTATTGTAAATTAATTTACTAAACAAACGAGCTGCGAAACTAAAACATGTTGCCGGATGGGGAAGGATGTCGTTGGATATAGGAACAGATGTCGCTGGAGAGAGTGATAGATGGAGATGGAATGAGTTGCGATTTAGGGATTTAGGTTATGAGTTGCTGCTGTTGATTAGTTATATACCCAAAACATTTGTGTTGTGAAACTAAAACCTGTTGCGAATTTGAAATTCAACGTTGCGACAGTCAGAATCGCGTTGCGATAGTCAGAATCACGTTGCGATTATTTTGATTAAAATACTATAAAATCTTACATTATTAACTTTTTAAGTTAGATATTTTATAAGTTATACTACTGTTTCAAGTTATTCGGATAAATTTGAGTTATTTCAGACTATTTTGTCATCTTATTTGTGGGAATCAAACTCCGCTCTTTTCCATTACTATTATTTTGCATGGAAATAACCTCAAAATCAATGGTGGTTACCAATGGCAATACCATTCATCGTGTGTCGATAAATGAATTGAACGTTCAATGAAAAGTTCGTGAACGTTAAATAATCCATTTATTTATGTTCGTTTATTCATTTTCGTTTTTTTATATTTAGTTCAATCTACAAACCCGTTTAAAACATTAAGACCTAATAAATTTTAACGTAAAACCCACTAATATTTTAGAACCTAATTACTTTTTAACCAAAATAAAAAATACTCAAATCAATTAAAGAAAATATAAGTCCTAAAATTATTTAGAAATAAAAAAACTTTCTCAAATATAAACCCAATTAATTTTATATTTGTTCGATTATGTTCGTTTACGTTCGTTCGTCTGTGTTCGTTTATCATTTTAACGAACAAATATGAATGAACACGAACAAATTACATTCCTTAATGAACGAGCACGAAAAAAATTCGTTCGTTTAGTTGTTTGTGTTCGTTCGATTAAACTTAAACGAACGAACACGAATATGCCTTCCTTCGTGTTCGTTCGGTTTGTTTACAAGGCTACTCCAAAGGGCAAGATGATCACTGGTTCCTACACCTCTTGCCTGATTCTTTGGATAAGTGAATTGAGCCATTGGAAAGGTTTTCTGACATTATGAATTACCACTGAGATAAAATCAAAAACACTGGCATTATAAAGGGGCAAAAATGATGAACAATCATCTTTGGAATCGAAGCCGAACGCGACGAGCAAAACGCGCAAATGCCATGATCAAAGTCTCAACGAGTTCGATATAGATAATACTACCACCAGCTTCTAAATATAGATGTAATACATGCATTGTTGCATGTTCGAGAGGACGGATATTCCTACAGAGTTTCAATTGAAAGAGGAAAAAAGCACCTACATGCAGGTAGTACTATAGGCAGTGGAGTCTGTATAAAATGCACGCCGCATCGACCGCGTCACCAGTTTTTAGACTGCAAGGAAAACAATATGCTGTTTAGAAACAATAAAACACTCACAAAAGGTAAAACCATATATAGTATCAACTTAAACAATTGCATCTGACCTCCATGTTCTTCGAGATTTCTTTCATTTGTTCAGCAAGTTCTTCCCTCTTCTTCGCAGCTGCACGAACCGAAGCCGACAAGTAACATCAGTACTTCTTTCGTTGGGTTTTTGTGGGATGAAAGAGAAAAATTCAAAAACAGAGTGTCGAAAAAGACCATAGCAACGGAAGGAAACAAGCACATACCGATACTGGAGATATCCTCTATCTTCTTTGATGTCCTCACAGCAAATCTCTGGAATGCATGACTGAAAAATAAAAGATCCAAAAAGAAAGATAAACAAATAGAGTAGTGGTCAATGCTTAACATACAAAAAACAACTAATAGAAATAAATGGAAAAGGAACTCAACTTAGATTGTTCAAAAACTATGACAGAATTTTCCACAGGCCGTAAATGATCAAAGTGCGAATCTTTATTTTGTTCATAGGAAGATTTTCTCACAAACCTCCAGAATCCAGTTCTGGGTATATTTACATTGTACATGACATATGCCTAACATTAACAAGTCTACCGAAGCAAACTAAAATAAATTTCTATAAACCCTTTTGCTTATGATTTGCAAAGTTAAACAAAATTTGGTCTCATACATTTAAATAGACTACACAAAAAGCTTGTAATATCTCGATTCTCGAATATATTTATAACAAAAATGGAAGGAGCTGGCTTTGAGGTAGAATCTTCTCAAACCTCTTAGTTCGTGCGATTTGAAAGCGTTAAGTTGTTAAGGAAAGATTATCTACTAAAACATCAAATTATTTTTCAAGTCTTCAATGCTCGTTTGGAATTATACGAACAAATAATTCAACCTCTTTGATTTTGAGAAAAATATTGTGAAAATTTTCTTATTCCTGGAAAATTCAATCGAAAGTAATGAAAAATATAAGCAATAAACAAAAATAAATCCAGAGAAAAGAATATACCTGTTTGCAAGTCTATCAACGACAAGCTCATTGACGACATAAGATATAACTCTGTGCATGAAATTCCCTCCCGCCATGTTCGGTCTTCAGAATCTGATCATAAAGAATTTAAAACGAAAACAATAATGGATTAAAAACCCTCAAAATTAAAATAAAATCCAACTTTTTTGTTAATCATATAAAGATTAAAATAAACACGGTAGAGCTGATGGTAATAGAAAATAGTAAATATAAAATTGAACCTGCCAAAGGAAAACGATGAAGAAGATGCAGCAGGCTCCTTTGTTTCTCGAAGTTACCTGGGTTTCCCCTTCAGTTGACTATGAGTTTTCGTGTTATTTCTATTACGTTGCAAGCCGCAGGCGCAGGCAGTGCCGTACGAGTGTCCCCGTTTCCATGGATGTTGAAGCTGGGTCAGGGATCAGAGCCTCTGATTAACGGGCTTGTTACCTAAACGAAAAGAACTCAAGCTCCTTGGGCTATTCTAAATTCTTTTGGGAGAAACTAGACTATTAGTCGGCAAACTTTGGTCAGATTTTCATCTTGAACACTTAACTATAAAAAGTTCTAATTATAACACTATTTTGTTTAATTTCTTTGTCTAATCAATGGACTATTAAATTTTAACGTTGTTACGTTGTGATATTATTTTTCACCTTTTTACTAAAAATGTTAATCTCTCTTATTGTCAATGCATGATAAAACTGGTATATTTTTTTCGTCATGCTCTCATTTCTTTTATCGAATTAGTTTTTAATAAAATTCACTCAAAGTTCATAAAAGAAAATTAACCAAAATTTTGACCTTTTAATGTTATTATCTACGATGAGTTGAGACTAATCGAGTTAAATTTTTGTTGACTTAATCGAGTTGACGAGTTTTATTTTATAACTCAAATTTTATTTAAATTTATTTTTGAGTTAAGATGAGTTTATAAAATTTGAATCGAGTCTAGTTGTTTGAATTTTTGTTTAAATTTAATTTGTAAATATTTATAATATTAAGACACTAATAGATTCCAATTTAAACGACTTTCTATAATCATATACGATATACATACACATTTCTTTATATTTTGTGTGTGATATACACATATCATGCAAAGTTAAGGGACTCAACTGAAACTTGAAAATCAATCTACTAATTACTAAAAAATTGAGTTATTGGAGTATTATTTCATAACTCAAATTTTATTTGAACTTTTTTTCGAGTTGAATCGAGTCGAGTTTATAAAATTATGAATCGATTAAGGTCAAGTTAACTCGAGTATTTTGTTTACCCCTACCTCAACGGATGGATGCCATGAAAGAAGGTCAAGTTGGGGTATTATAGCAAGAAACCACGAGGGTCTAATAATGGCCTCGCGTTTAATCCCAGTGGATCATGTACCAAATCCCTTCATGGCAGAAGCTCATGCACGTGAACAATATCTAAATTTTGCAGCAGATTTGGGATTTCGAAGAGTAATAACAAAGGGTGATTTATCCTTGTCAGTGGCGGATGCGAAGTTTATCTAAGTGGACATGTATTTATCTTATAATTCGAGTTTTTTTTATGAGTTGTTCATACTAAAATTTTATTTGTATTACAAACGAAATTTTTTAAAAAATAATATGTGTTTACCTTAAAATATATTTTTAAATCTACCGCTGATCCTTATTAGAGTATCATATATTTATCATAACTATTCCGTTATAAGTTTGTTATATTGACATGGTGGTTATTTGTATTACAAACGAAAATTTTGTCATGTGAGTATCGAAAAGTATTCCGAAGTATTTCTCCTGTTTTAGTTATTTGCTTAAGTTTGCTCAACTATTAGTTTTTCTCTATTTCCCCTCTTCTTCCTTCACTGTTCTTCAGTGTTCGTTCATCAGAGTGACTTTCAGACAATCCTTAGGATCAATCATCAAGAAGATGCAGACAAGCAAAGAAGATAAATCGATAATCGGAACAGTGGTGAATAATGCAACATTCCATGCAAAATTTCTGAACTGGCTAAAGAATACAACTTGCAGATACAAATGAAATAGCCCATATAACAGGTGTGTTTTGTTTTTAACCTTGTTTTGGCTACAAATGTGCAAAGAGTAATTGATTCCAAGTATCTGGAACTCCGGGCAAGCACCAATGGATGCAGTCGGCATGTTTCTTTGGATCTGCTCTTTCCTCGGGTGTCAGAAGCTTTCCCCCGGTCTCCGTGTATATGGATGAATGCGCATCCACTCTGTACATTGAAAGCTGCGTTACATTAAGAACCGAAACTGGAACTTTCATTTTCTTCATCACTTCATCCACTGCGCTCATCATTTCCTTGTTTGCGGCGAAGTTTCCCCAGAAGTTCTTCTTCTTCAGTGGCTCTGATTCGTTGAAGCATTTTAGCCCATCTTCCCTCCCCCACTCTTCGCTCCTACACAATAAAATTATCGTTATAAGGAAAGGCTAAATTCTGATTTTGGTCCCCTACTATGTTTACATTTAAAATTTGATTTTTTTACTTTAATTTCATATAATTTGAGAAATTGAACGATACTTTGAATGAATAGGCGACATGGTCGTGAAGAACACACGTGTCTTGTTGGGATTTATGTTTGAATCGATCCAGTTGGCCCATGTCTTCAGTCCAATTTTGTAGGCAACCGGTGTGTCCAGCTGTGCGTAACCCTCTTCACCATTGGCGAACGAACCCCATCTGCTCTTAAAACACAAAAATAATACAAAAAATTACGAGTTCGAGTTCAAATTTATGTTTAAGCACATAAATCCTACAATAAATTTTAATCAAGTCAAATTCAAATGGAGTTAAATTTCGAGCGTTGGATTTTAAACAAGTTCGGTTCGGGTTGGATACAAGGATGGGCAAAAAGGAGAACTTACAATGTTTTGACTCTAATGCCATACATCCACCAAACGTAAGTATTGAAGGCAAGGATATCAGCTCCTTCCCAGTCTTTTGAGGTATCTGAAACTGAATCTACTTTTATGATTCTCTTCTTCGCTTCCTTGATATTGATATCCGTATTGGATTGAACTAGAAATGGAGCCCAATGAAACTCAATTGTTGCATTGTATTCCTAAAAAAGTGTTAATAAGGTAGGTTAAGTCGTATACTACTAAATCAGATCAAAATTCATCGGATTCGTGTAATTTGACCATCTTTGGATAAAACCTACTTATGTTCGACCTAAATAGGGTTGGTGAAGTGTGAGCTTTACATTGAAGCAAAGTGGAAGGGGCAATGATGAAAACAATACCTTGGCTTTGAAGACATTATGGACTTTGCCTAGTGTCAGAGATTTCTTTTGGGGAGGAATAGTCCATTCCACCATACAAACGAAAGATTCCCATTGATTTCTTTGAAGGGAATCCCCTGAGAAGACTAGCCTCTTTCCTCTAAGCTTCTCAAGTGCAACTTCTGCATCAAATCTGAAGATACTATTTTTTATCCATTATTTTATCCATATTATTATTATTATTATTATTATTATTATTATTATTATTATTATTATTATTATTAATTTATATTAAATATATTAAATACATAATAAATTACAAACCAATTACAATTCAACCGGCCCAGTTACAAACCAACTGAAACCGGTCCAAAACTAACTAGAAACCCTAAATGTTTAGGTTTCCAGTTAGGGTTTCCTAACCCTAATCATCCTCAGCCGCCTCATCACAACCGTTGGATCTGGCACGATCCAACGGTCCACATGGTTCCAGAGAGAAACCCTAGGGTTTGATACCCTAGGGCCACGCGGCCGCCGCTGCTGCTGCTTCCAGAAGACTCCGCCGCTGCCACGTCCAAACCGAGGACTCCAGAAGACAGAATACCAGCCGTCCACGCCAAGGCTACGGGGTGAGTCACCACTGGTAGTCCGGTGACTCACCGAAGCCCCTCTTCGGACCGGTCCGAGACGAACACCGGTGGTGGCTATAAAAGCCTTCACCCACCTGAAAAAAAAAAGAAAAAAAGAGGACAGAGACAGAGACAGAGATAGAACCGAAAAAAAAAAACAGAGAAAAGAAAAAAACAAACTAATACCAACGATCTCAGTAGCAGCAAAGAACCAGAAGGAAAAAAAAAAGAAAAAGGAAGAAGAGACTTACCGAGGAAGCTCCGACTACCAGATCTCACCGGAACCTTCGAAACAACGAAGGTACTTTTGTAGATTTGCTCCGATTGGGAGCCTTTTAGGAAGAAATAACACCGGAACCGTCCTTAGGATGGTCCGATCTATATATTAGTGTAAAGAAAAAATTTTCCGGCCACCGGATGCGGTGGCCGGCGGTGATGGTCACGGCGGCAGACGGTTGCCGTCCGGTGACCGGCTTCCCTCCGGTGAGGGAAGCTAGAGAGAAGGCAGAGAGTTTTAGAACTCTCTCTGCTAGAGAGAGAAAAAAAGAAAAGAAATGAAATGGCTGGCCCTTCGGGCCAGCCGGTTTGGACCATTTATAGTCCTTCCCGAACGACGTCGTTTCGGGAAGGACTATACGCGTAATTATGAAATAGTTAAACCCCGTCCGCAGTCCTCCGGATTTGTAAAATTTACATTTTAGTCACTAAATTAAATTTATAATATTCTTAATTTGGTCTTCGAATTTTAATTTCTTTTATTTTAGTCCTTCATATTAAAATATATTTAGGATAAATTACAGATTTGATCCATTAATTTCCATAAATAATTTTTTTTTCCTAGTTTATATTTTTAATTTATTTCATTATAAAATTCGAATTTTAGATAATTTTATTTTAGTCACTAAATCATTAAATCAGAAAATAACATATTTGATCCCTATAATTTTGATTAATTATGAATTAGACTTTTAATTTTATTTTTACTGTAATTTAGTCATTTATTTTATATGTTTTCTTTTATTTTATTGTTTTTAAATATATTGTTTTAATAGTATTTTTATTTTTATGAATAAATATTTTTATATATTCATAAATATATATATAATAGTAATTTTTAAATATTTATCTTAATAAATCAAAGAAAAGGACAGTCTTAATACAACTGGATGTCCTATTCTGATATTTTAAAATTAAAAATTAAATAATATTATTTATCAATATCAAAGAAAAAGAGCTGTCTTAAGGCACCTAGAAGTTCTTTTTGGATATTTTTAAATAAATAAATATTTATATATATAATTTGAAAATAATAGAATTAAATATATTTTTGAATTTTTAAATTTTAATAATAGAGACAATTTATAATTGCAAAGTACCAATTTTGGGCGTTGTAGGGGTGCTAATCCTTCCCTAAACGTAACCGACCACGAATCCCTTTTTATTATTAAAAAGAACGAATTTTTGGTTATAAAACGCAGATCAGTTTAATTTTTTTTAATTGATGTTTTCTTAAAACTCTTTTAAAAAATATTTTTTAGGTATTCGACCT